CCGCATTATGATTAAAATCTGTCACCTGATTCACAGTTTTTCACAAGACCACTAAGCTCTCGCCATAAACTCACACACCTAACCGAATCTCTAAGAGATCTTAGAGATTCTTTGCCTAACACGCATCAGAGGAACCTGGGAGCAGACAAGGGGTGAACTATTGATAAGTGTAACCGTTGAGTTACTGATCTCTATTGGCCTTCTTTAAAAATTCTTTAAATTTCTTAAAATTCATTCTATGGCTCCCGTACAGAAAAAATTCCCAATCACAAAAGTGCACCAAACCAATCAGGTTGTTATAGAAACTTTTAGTATCAATTCAGGATCTGTCCCCCATGTTGGTGAGGGGGGTGATTATAAATTAAAGTGTCTTGCTTAGAGCTAGTGAAGTCAGAAAATGCATCGGAGTAATATAAAATGTTGCTTTAATTTTTTTAAATTTCTGTTCTCATATCTGCTCGTGGTTTAGGTCAGCATTTATATAATTTCCTCGCTGCTTTTTTGGATAAAATGCTAAATTTTCTAGATCCCTATTTTGTGTGGGCCATCCCTTTTCTAATTGAGATTTTTTCTGTTACCACAGCATATCCAATGTCAATTTTGTATTCCTAATTCCTTGAAATTTTAATTGCTTCATAAAATTCTGTATTTTGTTTGCATACGTGTAATGTGAGTTATGATCATTTAAGGCAACAAAAAAGCCCAGGTCCTGTTTTGGTATCCCATATACTCCGAAAGGTTATTATTCTAATGAAATGGTGCATTGATATTTGTTCCTAGAATTAGGAAATAAATAATCAATTTAAAATAATTTTTTGTCTCTCATTTATCAGTGTTACTTTTGAAATGTATCTTTCTGAATGTCTTTCTCTGTGGTATAGATGTATTTTTTGATATTCGTACACATTTTCTTTTGAAAATTGCCTTCGCTTTTTTGTTACTTTGTTCATTTGAAGTTTCAAAACCCTTTTGCCACTGCATTCTTTCTGCAACTCCCAACTTTTGGCCTTACTTTCGATTTTTTGATCAGTACAGATTACTATAAACAGCTGTATCGCAGAATGATACAAATTTATATGGCTCCCTCAGCACAATGTAATGAATGCGAGTTAACTGAATGAAAGCCAATTCTTGAGAGCTTTTTATAATTTATCAGCTTCAGTAAAAACTTCCCCCCTTCCCCTTTTGATTGCAGAATTATTTTCTCTCTGATAATGTATGTATAAATCCTATAGTTTTCTACTTTTTAGCTGTTAGGACCCCCTAAATATGGGTATTTCCCTCTTTGTGCCGGTCCTCTTTGGAAAGCATTTTTTTAGAATTTAATATCACTCTGATTTGATTTCCACCATCAGAATTGGATCAGAAAGCTTTTCAGATTTAATATATGTTTACTTAAAAATGTGTTTCAGATCAACAGTAATATATGAAATTCTATAGTTCTGAAGTAAATGCTTAATTAAAAAATGGCATTTAAAGAATTATTTATATTTTGACGTGTTATCTAGTTCATGATTTAATAATGGTCAACAGAATTATTTTCATTTTGTTGATCATGACAAATTCTGAAACCTAAAATTGTTTAAATCAAATAATGGAGAAAAGTAACATTAAGTTAACGCCTCTCTAATGCCTTCCCCCTTTAATTTCCGCAATTCGACACGGGTCTCTTGGTACCATTTCCAAATGCGCTCCCATTCTTACCTCTCAGTTCTCTCCGTACGAATATTTGCCTGCTAAACCATTGTTCTTATAGATTCCCTATCTCCGTAAACTGCATGTGTTTTGCCTCTTTATTCTCTATTTTGGGATCCCTGTATTATAAATTTTAAAATTTTCAATTCTTTCTTGAGGGCAATCACTTCATAGCTGTTATTTACCATTTGAAGTCCCCCCCTTCCTGTACCTTCTACATATTACCTTATGAAACCTTATGGTTTTTTATTTAACTGTTTTTTCTCAGGTAAAACCTGTTTACAATGACAGCTCTATTCTTTTCTATTCCTTCATTTTGTATATCCTTGTTTCTTGCATTTTTTTCCAAGCACAGCTTTTTATTTTATTTTCTTAATCTTTTTTTCCTTTTTTTCCCCCCTTCCCGACTTATACCAGTAATGATCACTGATCTAAAAAGGCCTTCTTTAATGCGATTATTGGTTAATTTTTTTCACTATCCGCGTTGGCTGCTTTTCTTCAACCTCACAATAGACGACCCTCCTTTCCTTTTTAGCGAGTGCTTTTGCCCCTCATAATAGAACTTCTAGTAATAAGCTTGCTTTTCAAGCATTTTTGTTTTGGTTTAACATAAGTTTGTATCTTCATGCTTATCGTTTCTTTTCTCCTGTGGCTCCCACACTTCAGGATGTTTTACCTTACTCTATTTGGCACCTCAACACAACAAGACCTATTTTTTTCACGTTTTGTTACCACAGCTCCGTCACAAACGCACAATTCACAGCTGCTGATAACATTCGCCCCTTAACTATTCCAATTGAACCCACCTTTTACCCTATCATCCCTCTATGTATATAAAGCTTCTTATTCCTCACCTTTTTGTGCTTTTTCTGTTTAGGCACCCAAAGTATCTTTAAAATTCCTGCATCGACTAGCACTACCAAAATCAACCTAACACCTATAATTATCATCTTATAAATTTTCCCCCCATTCTTACTTTAGTATCAATAAATCACCTTGGACACAATTTCATATAATTACCTTTACTAAAATTACAACAAGTAAACTTAAAATATATTTGTGTAAATACTGCACGGTGCAATTTAGACCATATACATACACCACACTTCAGTTGTTCACATTCTTAACGTAAAACAAATCTGAGCCAGTTGGAACAATTTGCTTCATGTAATTTTAGTGGTGTAAGTACGAGCAAATGCTTCTAGTAGTTTAAGTTAAATACTTTTAATGGTTTTTGAATATTTTTTGTTTCCAAGTTAAATAAATCTGCGTGATATTGCATCAAAATGAATAAGTTTATTCATCTAAAAAGTTGCTACATTATTTGTAGAACATAAAAAGCCACATATTCATATTTTTGGCAATTTTACATCACTAGTTATTTACTCACTAATTAAACTGAAATTTAATTTGAGGGGAGAGGAGGGACATATTCCTGTTTAATCGAGCCTGGTCTTGGAGGGGGGGCTTAAGTTGGCTTATTGCAGTGATGGCAAAAAATTATTTTTATGAGCCATCAGAATAGAGGAAAATTTCAATGGAAAATGTAAGAATACTATTCTATTCTTAGTATAAATACTATTGTTTTTATCCACAACAGTACGTAATGTGATAGGATATAATCTGGAATATATAAATTTTGTTAAATCTTTTATTAAAATAAATTGCTAGATCACAAAATTAAATTATGTGTAAGCCAAAGGATATGGTGGGTGTGGCAAGAGATCCCATTCGAGTCCATACAGATTCCAGCTGGTAGATGCAGACACATGCGAGTTTGCATTATTTTTTCTTTTGACCGGAACTCAATGACTTTTTCTCTTGATAGCAATGCCAACAGAGACTAGTTATCTCGCCGTACACCTTACTGTCGAGGGTTTTAGCTTTTTCCAGATACACTTTGTAGATAATACCATAGCAATCCCATCAGATACAAAGAATGATCATTTTGTCAAGTCAAATTGCACTTTGCGATGTTGCCGATGAGCTCGTGAGATGCAAACCAACTCTCCTTTCGGCTTGTGTTGTTGAAGTAATTCCATTTTTCATCATAAGTGACGATCCAGTCCAGAATTTTGTCTTTCCGTTGATATTCGGGCAGATTACCGCAGGCCTGAACATGTTTCTCATTGGCTTGAGTCAGCTAATAAGGCATCCATTCCATGTCAAGTTTATGTGATGCATAACACGACCAATGGGCATGGCACTAATGTCTAATTTCTTAGCAAGCTCTGGAGTGGTTACCTACTGATCTGCAAGTTCTCGCAAGCAGGCCTCATCAACACCAGTAGGCCGGCCAGAAAAAACAAGAACTATGACTCTTGAATGTCATAAGTTCTTGTTTTTTAACTTCTGATACCAAGCCTTCACAGTATCATGACACAATATTAGTACCTAAAGCTGTACACATGATTTGGTGACATTCTGTAGCTGACTTTTTACAACAGAACTGGAAGTAAATGATGGTTCTAATCTGTTAGCACTATATTACCATTTCAGACATCTTTTAATGCTATTTTTTACAAATTTCACAACACAGTGTTCTGAAGCAAGTCTCTTTCCTTTCAAATGCCAAAAATCATGTGACAAAATATGATTAAACCCGCCAATGCGAACTGTTTGTGAACACATATTTGTGGTGGCGAGAAACTTTCATTAAAACCCAATACATTGATTTATTTTAATAGAACAGTACTTGTATATTATCTCATAGGCACAGAAAGGAAAACTAAAAAAAAAATAATAATAATAATAATAACTTTAATGCTAGTGTAGTTCAAATAAAATTAGTATGCTCTAGAGCAAGTAATGTTTTTTTTAATTAAAAGGAAATTTAGAAAATGGTATAAAATGAAAATTTATAAATTAACGTTTTTCACACCAAGTACCCAAAACATCTTGGTTCCCAATGAATTAATATACAGTATATAGTTTTTTTTTTTTTTTTTTTTTTTTTTTTTCTTTAAAACAATTTTTAAAGTAATTGAGTAGTGATTAAAAATAAAAGAGTTGTGTAAAATCTTTAAAAAAATAATAATTTAAATACTTCCTTCTTCGTTTGCAGATTTCTTTGCTACAAAAGTTTCCAGATAGGTTTAAAAAAGCGGTGTATATTTGAGAACAAGAAATTTTTATAATTTTAATGCAAAACTTAAACTAACTAAAAATGTTGAAACAGTATTATTTATAAATACCTCTTTAACCGTCTGAAAATATGGTTGATAGTCTTAGTGAAGTTCAGTATGTAGCTTTTCAATTTATATGCAGTGTATATATATATATATATATAAATTGAAAGGTTACAATGACTAATCAAAAGTACATTATTATATACAAACCTTTTCACATCCTAGTTCCACTAGAAGTCTGTCAGCTACAAATTCAATGTACTGTTTCATCAACTTATTGTTCATTCCTATTAAAGCAACAGGTAATGCTTCTGTGAGAAATTCTTGTTCAATAGATACAGCATCAGATATAATTTGGGTAACTCTTTTTTCTGATGGCTTATTTACGAGATGGCTGAACATAAGGCAGGCAAAATCGCAATGCAAACCCTACAACAAAATATAAATTGTATAATAAGATTTAAAAAACAAAATACTTACTCATTAAACTTTAATTTGCTTAGCTTTACAAGCGAAATTTATCAGATGACTGAAAATAAAGCATGTAAAATCACAATGCAAACTTTACAACAACAGTACAACAAAATGTATATTGCATAATAAGCTTTAGAAAGTAAAATACTTCATTAAATTTTTAACTTGCTTAACTTACCTCTTTAATCGTCTGAAAGTCTTACAATCAATTGCAATTTCTTAATTGCAATTGATTTTGAGTACTATACTCACTTCAATAAGTGAAATGAAACCAAAATAATGACACTGTTAAATTACCAAAACTTGTTAAAAATAAAGCTACAATACATAATAAAAACTGGATGCATACTTCATCTCGACTTATCAACTCATTGCTAAATGTAAGGCCAGGCATTAACCCTCTCTTCTTCAACCAGAATATGGATGCAAATGAACCAGAAAAGAATATTCCTTCTACAGCAGCAAATGCAACGATTCGTTCACCAAAGGATGCATGTGTATGATTAATCCAATTCAAAGCCCAATCAGCTTTCTTCTTCACACAGGGAAGAGTTTCAATAGCATTGAATAACTTTTCCCTGTAAAGCAAAGTTTTAAATAATTATTAATATCTCAATAAATTTATTAATACAAATAGTATTTAATAATAAATACACTGAAGAATCTTATAAACTTCATCTCTTACTAGATAAGTTAGAAAGAAATTCGTTGTTGATATCAAGTTTACAAAAGATAACAAAATTATGGTTTTAACTCAATGTCTGTGTTAAATCATCATCAATTCATTTGCATGTTTAGTCTCATATTTTTGAATCAACTGAATTACTAATTAACAGTTTAAGAAAAAAAAACTAAAATTAAAAAATATTAAACTCATTTCCATAAAAAATAATTATGTTATCACATGGAAAAACTTTAATGGAATAAAAAGAACTTTTTATACATCAACTAGATTAAATGTTCTATATCAAGAAGTGCATGATCATGTCATTAAAGAGTAGCAACAAATCCATACTATAACAAAGTATATAGCCCCGTTCACATGCAACACTCTTTTGCACAGACACATTTTGTACTAGGCAGAAAAGGGAATATCAAGCAGTTTCACCTTCAAGACCGATTCAGATGCACATCGTCTTCCATCCCTTAACCCGTAAGGCAGTGGGAGCAATGTCACAAACGTGAATCTGATTGGCGGATTTCTAACATTCATTTACATCTTTTGCTATTGCTACAGACTGTTACCAGAGCTTTTGTCATGGTTCAAAAAAAAAGAGTTATGCTTTTTCTACAATTGTTTTTGCACCTATAACTGAACACGCGCTGTTTAGAGCAGATCGTTACCCAAAAGATGGCAGCTTCGAGGAAGGAAAATTAATTTTGGGAAGTTTTAGCAACTATTTCACACAAGCAAAGATATGAAAAATTATGGACTTAAATGATACATCATGGATAGAAGCAATCAAATTCACCATATGGCTGAGAAATGTACTAAGCTACTAAGAAAAATTAGGATACTCTTCTGTTATCGGGACCGGATTAAAAAGTGTATGTATAAATGCATGTATTTATAAAAAATTATGCTCATGTATGCATGTATCATTTAATCATTATCATCAGTTCGAGCAGTGAGCTCAAGGAGACAGCTCAGACATTTTTAAGCTCCTCTTGACTTTTTCTCCTCGAGGTCAGGCAAAGAGCCACCAGACCATCTTTTGGCAAATAGGCATGATAGTGACGATGATTTAATGGACTCTGATTATTCTACAAAGACTTTTAGCAAATCTAACCACACAGACTTTCTTAAAAATGGAAAACAGAACTCTGACTCAAATCGCAAGTTAACTAAAAAAGCTACTAAGAAAATAATGAAAACTAAGCATACTTCCATCAGTTTTGAAAAACTCAAAAACGTATTTCCAAACTTAATCGCAGGCCAAGCAGAAAATAATACTGTTCTAACTCCCGCTCAGAAAAGGAAAGATCGCTCACTCTCAAATACACTTCCCGAAGAACAAGTAGCACAGTTAAAATCTATGTATGGCGAACTTTCGCAGTTTGACCCCAATTCACCAGGTTATGAAACTTATCGGCAATTTTTTAGCTTTGTGCGCAAAAAATAACAACTCTTTCGCCCACAAAAGCAGATTCTCCAGCAATATCCCCCACAAAGGCAGTAAAATCTCAGGATGTACAAGAAGGTAAAGCAGGAATGGCAAACTCCTACTAAGACATGCAAACCTATACTTAATTTAACTCAGAAAACGAATATCCCACAAGAAAACAGATTTTCTACTCTTAACGATACTGAGCAAACAGTTAAAGAAAATATCACTTTAGATAAAATTTCCCCCATAAGTCATTACCAAAAATAACCCAGATTGGAAATCAATTCATAAAATGTGTAAAGATACTTGTAAAGAAAACTTTGAAGCAGAAATGAAAAATAGAGCAATTTACCTGCAAACCAAAAATCTGACCGACTGTGAAAATACAGTAAGAAACCTCAAAAAAAATAGGAATTCAATTTAATATTTACCAAATTAATAATGAATCTACTACTAAGGTTATCCTCAAAAATAAATGCCAAACACTATTACTGAATCTGAAATTCAAGATTATCTTTCCAATAGAGGTTTTCGCATCATAAAAGTGTGCCAATTCTCTAAGAAAATTGACAATTAAAAATTCTTACTCCCAATTTATTTTTTGGAACTCCAACCCAGTTTACGAAAATATTCATAAGCTCAATAATATATTCGATTTTAATATCATCATTGAAAAGTATACACCCAGAAAGCACCCCATGCAACGTTTCAACTGCCAAGAGTTTGGACATTCTCACGCTAATTGTTTCAAACAAGTAAAATGTGTTAAATGTGCAGGAAATCACAGAAGCAATACTTGTACCCTTAAAGATATTGAGAAACCCAAATGTCTATTTTGTTTGGAAGATCATATCAGTTCTTATCGTGGGTGTAAGATTTACAAGAAAAGATTTGAAAAAACAGAAGATGGATAATTTATCCCACAGCAGAAGATTTCCCACCTATACTTCCCCAAACCTCTTCAGAATGTAGTAAATCCTTCAAGACTCGCAAAACTAACTACAATGCTGCCCGGCAAAATAATCTCAATCTTGAAGTTTAACAAGATATCTTTCAAATTTTTCAAGACTCCAAAGTTTTTCGACTCATCAACACTCACTGAAAGAGCACAGGAAATTCGTAGCTCACGTAGTACCACTCAAAAAATGTTATTAGCATTTATTTATTATAGAACAGCTGAAATTCGCTGAAGAAAATTTATTTTCTTTATCTCTTCAAATGTTCAGGTTTTTTAACTTTGAATACGAAACACATTACTTCTCTGCGCTCTTCGATTGGCCGGACTGCAAGTTTTTTATCTTTTATTTTTCAAGACTACATTTTATTTCGGACTTGTTTTTACGTTAATATTGCTTTATTTTATGCACTTTGCTTTTACCTTCACCTAGATTATGCCATACTTCAACTGCTCAGCTTTTTCATATTATGCTTATCCAACCTACCAATAGATAGCGACTCAATAGATGACTTCTACAATAGTTTTCGCCATGTTCAGTAGATGGCGCTACATCTTTCTCCAATATTAGCAAGCAACTAAAACTCAAGAATTTTCCATTCTTCACTAAGACACACCCCATAGGATAAATAATTGCCAAGTCAAAGTCATGAGACTAAATACTCATCCTTATCGCAAATTCATGCCAATGTATATGTGTACACACATACATACATACATATACACGTGCATATATTTCTGAATCCGGTCCCAATAACAGAAGAGTACCAAAATTATGATGAAAAAACAACTAAGCTTTCAAAGTGAATTTGACTGACAGGTAGCAAATCTGACGACCAGTATCGCTTAAAGCGATGTAGTCTTCTTGCCAAGGTGCGAAAGAACTCGTAGGGCGGTTAAGCCTCGCGGAGTGAGGAATGTCTATATCTTCTGAATGTATATAGCAAGAAATGAAATATAAAGTTTGCAAGCTAAATATTTATTTAAATCAACAAATGAAATCAGTAATGCAATATTAGTGAAGAATTAGGCTAGAAATAACTAAAAAATTAAGACAAATCAATTAGCAGCAGAAAAACTGCCATGTATATTGGCATTACAAAAAGATTAAATTTATTTTTAAAAGTCAAACAAAAGAAATTTTTTTTTAAAATGGCATAAAAAATGTTCCAGTAATTTTACACCAATATTCTTATATTCACTTATATTCAAGAAACAGTATTTATGCTTAAAATTTCTTATCTGAGAAAAATATGCAGTGTAAGAAAACAAGCAAGTTTGATAAATTTAAATTATTTCCTTATTATGTTTTTTGAGAAGGGGTGAGTCCGATCATTTTTCAGAAACAATGTATTTAAAAGCAATTTAACTATTTCTAGCATGGCATAATTAATAAAAGTAAAATGTATTAATAAAATGAGTTTTCTTGTCTGATTCTTCCAAACCAAAAATCTCAGTTTCTGTTATTGGGCTGGGATTACAGGCATCCTAAAATTCTGCCCATTTGGTCATAAAACCTGAAAGCAATTTTACCATCGGCTCCAGATATTCTTAATTGCCAAGCTGAAGCTGATATTCGCGTCTGAGCACCTTCATTTTAGTTTTCATTTGAATGGTATTTCTGAAATTCTTGTATGGTTCCTTTTTTTTTTTTTTTTTTTTTTTTTTTTTTTTTTTGAAAGGATGATATTGCATCTACAGTTCTCTATCAATGTGACTGTTTCACTGACAGCACCACAAGTAGTCAGTTGAACGTCAGCTATGTTCTTTACTAAAATTAAGTGAATCGTGCAATTTTAGTATGGGAAATCTTCCCATTTGCCCTGCTCCAGAGAGGTAGAAGGATTCTACCGCAAGTTCCAAGTGGAATTAATGCTTGTTCGCCATGTGAATGGGACATGTTGGAAGAACTGGTTTTCGCCACCAGTCGAATCTACTCCGGTGAACAGGGCTTGGGAATACTGCAAAATGGTAGGAAGACTTAAACTGGATTAATTTTGTCTGATACAGGTTCTTCTTTAGAAAGAAAATTTTTATGGAATTAATTTTATAGCAGAGCTAATCTACACATGGTACTAACTCCGTTAGATCAGAAAAACTCCAGTGTGAATGGCCATTTAAATACAGTGTCCAGGTCCATGTGTTATCTGATACATGCATTATGGCAACCTTAAAATACGAAAAAAACAGGAGTTCCCAGGAACTTTTTGTACTACGTAGTAGCAAAATTTTAAAAGAACTGAAAAATGATTTAAATCTGCTTTATTAAGAAGGATACAGTTTACTCAACTATTTATATGATTCTGATGTAAAATATATTAATATTTATTTATATAATTAAAATTTTATATTCTTTGACTTATACCATAAATTTCTTATAGTAGGGAAGGACAGCTTTAATTTATCAAAGTACAACGTAGTAAAAATAGAATGAATAGTTAAGGTACATATTGTTATGTGGATAAACTTAGCATTGTACCATATACTGTAAAGTTCTATAATTGTCTACAGTAGAATAAAACAATTTAGATCGGTACTTTTCCATTTTGCCGGCGCAAATCTCGCCAAGCAGACTTTATTGGCAACAACATACAATATACACTAATAAAAAAGTGTTAACGAATGTTAGTTCTAAGATTTTTTTTTTTTTTTTTTATTTTGAAGGCATAAACATTTTAATATCACTTAAAATTTTGTAGAAAGCCAATAACTAAAAATAATAAATTTGTAAAAAGACGTTAACTTAAAAATTTACTATGCTTTCATGGTTCAACATCCTGATCCACCGGTTCGTATCACTTGACCCCAAGTGATCTCATCTCACGTAAACTACATTACAAAAATCTAATTCAGTAATTACCTACATTAATTTCAAGTTAAATCTTAATTTGAAATATAAGTTTAAATGCAAAAATTATTTCAATTCGTACGAATAGCTTACTCAGAAATTATGCAAAACCTCAGTGCTTTACTTCGCTAGTGCATTCTCATTAGAACTGATGAATTTAACCCTTGACTTTGCCTTTTTCTATATTTTCGCATTTGGGTGAGCGGTGTGATTGCATCCTAATTGACTTAATTACTGTGAATGTTCTTAGGGCCTAAAATTGAACTATCTGGTAAAAATTCTATGTAATTGTATGCCAATATTGAAAGAAACAATCAATCTGATAAGAAATGGCTGCAACTTATTTTGAAAGTGAGGCCTAAAAGCTTAACAGCGAGGATATTCTTCTGTTTGGCATCAATTGTATTATTACTGGCGACTTTATTGCCTGCGCCAGCAAAACGGAAGAGTACCTTCAGATCAAATAAAATTTAATAAATTATGAAGATCACTAGGAGAGGAGGAATGAGTTTTGCACGATTTAAGTTTCACTAATTCAACAATGAAACTTAAACTGTGGAAATTTTATTTGTGCAAATTAATTTAATTAGCACAATTTTATTTTATTGCTGCAAAACACTTTCATTAATTAAAAAATAAATAAATAAAATGGGAAATTTGGTGATCTACCAGGAGACTGGAGGATTTGTGAAAAAAACCTCAAGAATTGGCAGCTATGTATATACTACAGCTTCATTTTCAAAAATTAGGAAAACAGCAAGTACTGAAAGACAGAGGATGGAAATGACAGTGATTTCTTTTCTTAACTGGAAAAACATAGTAAACTCAGCTTTCATAAAAACTAACATAAAGGTGAACACTCATAAAACAAGGGAATACTTGTACACTACACCATCCTATAATTGGATCAAAAACCTTTACTTTTGGAATTATTTCGAAATCTCTGCCTTTTTTCAAACTTGTCACACTAATATTTAAATTTCAATTCTAGCTATCATATCACAAATGGCTCAGCAAATATATTTTACCTTTCTGACTTATCTTTAATATAAGTATCTATAAGCAAACTGTACATTTCGGAATGCACATTTTCAATTGCTATCTGAAAACCATAGAAACAACGGGCTTCAGTGACCTGTACTTCTTGACTGAATCTTTCAACCTAATGAAATAAATATTTTCATTAAAAATAACAATAAAATAAACAGGGGTTACATTAAAAAATAAATATTTCAGTCTAAAAAAAAATTATATAAAATTGTTTTAACATTTATTTTAGGCAACATCATTGACTTCACATTAAAGCCATGAATCAGATAATTTTTGGTATTATTTACATATGTTCATTTTCTATTACTTTCATATGCTTTCTGATATATTAAATAAAAGTCATGCTATGAGATGAATATATGAAAATTTTTTGTAGGATTTTCTCAAAAAGTGAGTATACCACTTTCCTTAAGACAATGATTTGACAAATTCGCGACTTCGGCATGGAGAAAATGTATTGTGATCATTTAACCCTTTGACACGCGCAATAATATTTTTATAATTTTTTGAACTAAAAACTCTAGAAATTAAATATTATGATCGTAGAGACAAACAATATATAAATCTAAAAAAATCTACTCTTGCCCATTGTTCTGTGGGTGGTGCTCGCACTGTGAAACCACCGCGCGTTTAGGACTTTGAAACTTACTGAGGTAGTAGGAAAATAAAACTTACCTTTCTCCATGCGCGTTTCCAATAAATGACGAAATTTACAAATTTTAAAAAAATGTATTAAGAATTGCATTATATATAATTTTTTTACATTATTTTACAAAGTAAATCATCAGAAAAAAATTAAAAATAAACATTTATGTAATTTCTCTGTAGCAGTGAAAATATAAGTACCTACATAATATGACATTTGGCTAAATGGTTTAAAAAACTGAGTAAAATAAGGATTAAAAAAAAAACTTTTTTATTATTATTATTATTTTATTTTATTTTACAGAATTTTTTTTTTTTTTTTTTTTTTTTTTTTTTTTGTGACACTGTTCAAAGCACGTTGTCTTTTTGGTACATGCATAGACCCACATTGCACATGTATCTTCTATGAGGTTTCTTCCTTGTGCTACAAAATCTAACTTTCACTGGTATATGTCCAGCGTTATTTAGTTTCTTTTCATCTGGCACATGAAATTTGTGGTTTTTTACGTTAATGGGGGGGGTTGGTCTTTTTGGCTTTGGTATGGTTTCCCATTCAGACTTATTTTATTCGTATTCCGATTATTCAGAAAATATTTTTAATTTAAATAAAACATTATGCGATTTCTATTTTTAATTATAGCAAAGCATATTTACATTAAATTTAAACACAAGAAATAATTTATAAAATCTCAATACTAGCTTGGGGAGCAAGTGTTTTGAGGTCAGAGAAAAGTCTCTGGAAAAGAGAGACCTTTTTACCGGGCAGGTGCATGTATTGTTTAGTAATAAAATAACTTTGTGGCTTCAAAACGCTTTATCTATATCCGAGTAAAAATAAACATTTCTGTTTGAGAAGCAAGAAAATGCCATTCTGAATAGCAGTGGTTTTAAGACGCGGCCACCGAGCCTCTAGAGCATTGTGTTACACAATACTCTAGAGGGGCAGTGGTCGCGCCCTGAAACCACACAGCAAATGCCATACATATAGAAGACATTTTTTATATATGCAGTTTAATTATTGCTATTTTTTATTGTTTATGATAGAAATCATGATGTGCAATGAATAACTTTTGAAATTTAAACTTTTTTTATATTAATAAAAGAAAGCTATTTTGTCTCATTGAAAACGAATTTTAAAAATCTGATTTGAATTACTAAGACCTAAAACGTGTATGATTCTGCAGTCATTTTGTGTTATTTTGAGGTAAAAAATTAATAATCAATCGATTTTCACTCAAAAATTTCGGAAACAAGAGAAAAAAAAATCGAAAATTCATGGTTTCAAGGCGCGACCACCATGCGTCAAAGGGTTAAAGATGACAAAACCTTCGTGAAATAAAATGTAAAAAAATTAAACTGAAGTGGACAAAACATACATTTACAAATATTCATTGAAGCAATGTAACATACTACCTTTATAAACTGGGAAATAAATGTAATGAAAAATTTGCTTTAAAAAAAAGGATAGATTTTATAAAAGCTGAACAAAGATATATATGGTTTACAAAATTACCAAATTTTCATTCACAATGCCATCACTTGCTGCGAAAAATGCTAAAATGTGTGAAATAAAATGCTTCTCTTCGGGCTTTAACTTTTCCCAATCTCCCAGATCTTTAGATAAGTCAACTTCTTCAGCAGTCCAGAACGATGCTTCAGCCTTTTTATACATCTGCCATATATCTTGATACTCGATGGGAAATACTACAAATCTACGAGGGTTTTCACGTAACAGTGGCTCATCGCTAGTTTTCAGAACTGATTTAGATTTTCTTTTTTCATTTTTCATAATATTAACTTCATTCTAGGGAAAAGAAAGAAATGAAAAAAATTATAAAGCAAAAAATATTTAAATGCTTAACACAGTATTTTACATATACAATTTACATCACAGATCTGAAGTTGCTGAAAATCACATCAGATATATAGCATATCATATAACATACTAATATTTCTTCTATTAATAAGCCAGCACTAATTGTAAACCAACCTTATAAAATTGAAAATTAAAGTGCTCTGTCTGCTTCTTTTGGCAGTCACTGCCAACTACCAGTCGTCATTCTGCATTGTAACTGTCATTCTGCATTGTGACCTGTATTGTAACGTCTACTGGCATTGCAATCATTTTGAAATTGCTGCCAAAGCCTATAGATGACACTTTGGGCTATTCCAAGTTCCTCGGATACTTCCCTCTGAGTACACCCATATTCCAGGCGGACAATATTTCTATCATGTAAAAAATCATCCAGATGCGTCCTCTGTGTCATAAGTATTCGGTTGTGGCACTGAGCAGCTTACAGAACACATGAACAATTTTACTCATTCCTTATATGCACTTCTTTTACACTCTCGTCATTGTGGCGTACTATCGGCATCATCTGGTTTCCTGTAATTTGCATATTATTCTTGAAGATGTATGCGATAATTCCACTGGTGAAATTTTTTCTTTAGAGTTTGATTTCCATGTAATTATAAATTATCCTTAATTTATGGACATGAGTGTATATATTATAAGATCTTAAAAATATTCAAGAGCTATTTGTAAATAAGTTATCTACATCCAGACTTATTGAGACAATTTGAGACAGAGTTATTGAGAGAATTTTCATAACATACATGGATTTGTTAGAATAAACAACTATTGCTAGATGTATAGAATCATATTATTTAAACCTATCTTGGGGCCAAACAATGGGCATACAAATACACCAAAGGTGAAATGCATAAAAAGTAAATCTTAACTTGTACATAATGCGATATATACACACACCTAAACACAAAGGTGTTAAAGAACTGATGACTGCAACTGCAAGGGGTGACAGAACATGGTATGAGCAAGAATTTCGGTGGAATCTGAACATGGAAACACAGTAAGCATGAAAAAAAACTGAAAATGGAATTAACAAGAATAGTTCAAATGAATAATTGGCTAATCTTTGGAATATGGTAACAGGCAGTTTGGCGACATTTTGGTAGGCGATAAAGGTTACTACCTAGGACTTTGGCAACACAGTTCTTTAATCGGAAAAAGGGGAAAATCTGGAAAAATATCTGCAGTACTTTATAGCATTTTGTATTTAGCTTCATTCTGCGTTGTGTGAAAGAGTATTGCTTAATTTTTGGATCCCGTGACCCTATCTAAAGTGAATTCGAAATGGGTATTTAGTGGGATTGAAAAGGGTAGTAATAAGTGTTTTTTTAAGGTTGTGCGAGATAGAAGTAAAGATTGCTTTTTAAGTTTTATTAAGCAGTATCTTCTACCGGGTACAATAATAATATCTGATTGAAGTCATATGCCTGTTTGGAGGGTGAAGGTTTTCAACATCTTGCTGTTACCATAAGTATCATTTCAAATATCCTGAAACAGGCGCACATAAGAATACGACTGAGATTCTGACGAAGATTAGGTAAGTTAGTATTTTTAATCATTTGAGGATATTATTTTTATGCATTGTTCTAAATATAAGGAATAAATAAATTAATATGCTATTATTGGAAAATTGGGTACTATTCCGTTTTGAGGACCGTAAAAAATCGCCAAACTATTATTGATGCCGCCAAAAATAATTGCGGCAACCCTAACGCAAGAAAAGAAGTATTATACGAAATAACTATCTAAAGATTATTGTTTTATTATACGAAATAACGGTACTTTTCTGTTTCACCGGCGCAAATCTTTATTGGCGACAACATACAGTATACACATAAAAAATTTTAGTTCTAAGAATTTTTTTTTTTTTTTTTGAAGGCATAAACATTTTAATATCCCTTAAAACTTTATAAAAAGCCAATAAATAAAGACAATAAATTTGTAAAAAGACATTAATTATAAGAATTTACTAGGCTTTCATGGTTCAACATCCTAATTCGCCGGTTCATATCACGTGACTCCAAGCGATCTCATCTCACGTAAACTACTCTACAAAAATCTAATGCTCTCCGTAATTATCTACATTAATTTCAAGTTAAATCTTAATTTGGAACACAAGTTTAAATGCAAGAAATATTTCAATGCGTACGAATAGCTTACTCAGAAATTATGTAAAACTGCAGTGCTTTACTTCACTAATGCATTCTCATTAGAATTGATGAATTTAACCCTTGACATTTCTTTTCTATATTTTCGGCTTCGGGTAAGCGCTGTGATTGCATCCTAATTGACCTAATTACTGAAAATGGCTTTAGACATAAAACTGAACTATCTGATAAAAATTCTATGTAATTATATGCCAGTATTGAAAGAAACAATCAATCTGATAAGAAAAAGCTGCGACTTGTTTTGAAAATGAGGCGTAAAAGGTTACCAGCGAAGAATATTCCGTTTGGCATCGGTTGTACCATTATTGGCGACTTTATCGCCTGCGCCGGCAAAACGGAAAAGTACCGAAATAACTATCTAAAGATTATTGTTTTAATTTATATGAAAGGTTAATTTCATACAATACTTTTTTATTATTATAATTTATATAAAAAAGGTTAAACATAACTGAATGGAAGCATAAGAGTAAATAAATGTTTCAGATTATTATTATAATTTATATAAGAAATGGCTAACCATAACTGAATGGACTCCTGCATCGCTCTTTCGCTACCGAGTTATCGCTAAAGCATAATTTCATCTCGTTGGTTGTTCAAACATAATTTTCTATAATGAATGATGCCTTTTCTTTGAAAAAATTCTATTGCAGACGTTTCGTCATGGGCAATTCCCAAAATGTTAAATCTATAGGATATCAAAAAAGGATTTAAAAATTAAACTAGTATTTCAATTGTGTCTTAAGAAATATAGAACTATCTAAACTTACGCAATTTGAAATCAGTGCGTACGCTAGATTTGGCGCGCTGTTAATGGACACTTTTGCTAGATTTGGCACTTTTGCGCATATATTTTCGCTGCAATTTTTTACGGTCCTCAAAACGGAATAGTACCGAAAATTGTTATTGGCAATGAATTAGTTTAAAGTAATTAAGATTTTAAGCTAATTTTTATTAATTTAATATATGTGTTTATTTATATTTTAAGTAGTGTTTTTAATTTAATTATATTTTAATTAAATGATAGTTATTTTGCAAATTATATGTTTTTAGCATTTTGGAATACGTTTCGGTAGAAGTAAACGTGCATGGGAATAATTTAAATATTTGACACTAAGTATTTGCAACCATTTTTTATTGTTTGCGTTATAAATTCGCAGGTGATGTTTATAAATAGATAATTTAGAGTGAAAAGTTTTGGGGCTTAATCTTTTGATTATTGTAACTTGGCGATTTTTTGGTGAAAATTTGGCAACCAACCCTGCTACAGCAACTTGCTAGTTTTGTTTTGGACGCTATAGTGTTTTCCTATATGTTTTACCACCAATCCTCGAATTCCATATCACAGATTATGTTCTTGCTGCATTAATATAAATATTAACAAGACATAGTGCACAATAAAAATTAAAGCTTTATTTCGGAACTTCGCGCACACTCCCCGACAGCCTGCCTGTTTCGCTCTGCTCGCTACTTGTAAGAAACTTCACCTCTAGGGTTGCCACACTTATCGCCATCACCACAGAGTTTCCCCCCAGTTCCTTTAATGACTATTCAAAGGAACGACATAGGTTATGAAATTATCTCAGAGGATCCGTACTGTCGGGTATTTTTTACATGATTACAAAATTAGAATATAAAATTAGAAAAGATCAAAATGCAATTCAATATATAACAAGGTACTGACACGTATAATAAACATGAAATAACAAGAAATATGTTACGATATGAATTTTAAAAAAATGTTTTAAATTGTTATGTAAGAAGCAAGTTTCTTAGGGAAGTGAACATGTCTTCCCGATCTGGTGACAGTTTGTGTCTTAGAGAGTTCGTTTGCAGATTTATTCTGCTGAACTTTCTTTAAGTCCTTATTTGTTTTCAGTTCAGGCAAATTAGAGTCCGAAAGCAAATAGGCTGGTTTCACACGGTCTATAGACACAGGCAGCCTGAGAGTTGTTCGGTACACCAGTTCAGCACAAGATAACTGTAGATCTTCCTTTACGGCTGTCCGAATACCAAGCATAACAACTGGTAGTGTTTCAGTTCAGTTATTGGTCTCGTGAGCCTTGAGAGAAGATTTTAAATGTCGATAAAATCGTTCAACAATGCCGTTGGACATTGGATGATAGGCTGTTGTGATTCTGTTTGTACCCAAAATGCGCGTAAATTCTGCAAAAAGTGCGGATCTCATTTGAGAACCTTGGTCTGTTGTTATGATCGATGGGCAGCCAAAACGAGATATCCAACAGTTGAAGATGGCTCTGCAAATGGTTTCCGTTTTCATATCTGGGATGGGAATGGCTTCAGGCCATCTGGAGAATCTATCTATTAGAGTCAAAAGGTACACGTGTCTTCCGATGGAGGTAACGGTCCGACGATATCCATATGGATTTCTGAAAAACGTGCATCAGGAAGAGAGAATGTGCCCAGTGGTGCTTTAGTATGCCTAGTAATTTTCGATTTTTGGCAAGATTCACAGGATTTCACCCAATTTTTTGATATGACGTTTCATATCGGGCCATACATAACGAGAACAAATAAGCTTCGTAGTAGCTGCAATTCCTGGATGTGACAGATTATGCAGATGATTAAATGATGAGTCTGCGAAAGGAATTCGGAACAAATGGACGAGGAATGTCCGTTGATATGTCACAAAGAATATTACCATCAGAATATTGGCACGGTTTAAATTCCAGTTTCAAAGATGATGTGTTGGTTTTTGAGAAGGTCTTGTACCTCCGGATCATGCCGTTGAGCTTCCGAAAATTTTTT